AAACCAAAGGGGGTCGCTATGAGTCGAAATCGACTCAATGGCAGTTGAGTTTGGTTTTTTTTTGGTTTGTGCACAGAGCAAGGAGCTCGTGTGATGCTATGGTTAAAGTACTGGGCTACTAACCAAAAGGTTGGTGGTTCGAACTCCCCAGCTGCTCTGTAGGAGAAAGATGAGATGGTCTGCTTCTGTAAAGATTTACAGCCCTAGAGACCCTACTGGGCAGTTCTACTCTGTCCTGTAGGGTTGCCAGGAGTTATGACAGTGGGTTTAGTTTGGTGCATAGAGCAGAGTCCTTGGGCAGCAGAAATGGGTAAGTGCTTGACTATTAACCAGTGGTTCGAACCAATCCAGAGGTGCCACGAAGAAAGGTCTGGTGATCTGGGTCCAAAAGGTCAGTCCTGAAACCCTATGGAGTTCTACTCTGCACACACAGTGTTGCTGTGAGTCATGGTGCACTCAACAGCATTGGGACAAGAGGGGAGCAAGATCCTTCCTTGCAAAGCCAAGTGGAGACAGCAACATTGCAATAAAAAGGTGAATGGAAGCAAAAACAAACTGAACGTCAAAACACTGTTCACAACTCATGGCTAGTTCTGGGTATTCACAGATGTCCTTCTATATATAGTAAAAGATGATAATCAAGGGTTTCTCCTTCTTAACTCTGATTGGTTTAACATCCACTACTGGGCAAACCATACTGTTTCTAGATAGGGAGCACAGTGAGGTGAAGAGGTGGTGGTACATGTGGCACTCATTGACTTCCTTCTTTTCAAGATCATAGTCTGAAAAGACATCATGTTTGGAGAAGGTATTCAAAGGAAGTAACTTCCTTACACTGGAACATGTCTAACCCACTTTTGAAAGTTAGATGATAATGCCAACAGCCCACCTCCCAGTACCCATGGCAGGAGCCAACTTTGTGAGAAAGTAGGCTCTGAGGTCATTCAATCCTGCAGCCAGCACGGGGGGCAGGTGTGCAGAACCCAGGCACTTCTGTTCCTGGAACTTGCTGTTTCTCAGCTTGGGGTTTCTGAGCAGCAGCTCTGACTTCCGCAGCTGCCTCTGTGCCCATTTTCACTTTCCATCTTCTCAGGTCAATTTTCTCCGTCAATCCATCCCACCTGCTTTTCTAATTCAGAACTTACTCAAAATTTCTGCTCTGGTTCATTTGTGCTTTAAAAGCTATTAAGATTTTTTGAAGTTCAGTGAAACCTGGGAAGGACAGATTAAAGTGAGGGCTCATTTGCCATTTCCAGTCAAGACCTTTAACTTGTAAGTGACCCATGCTTCCACATTTCTAGGGTAAGAGGACTAGGTGGGGTGTCTCAATCAGATGTGCAAATTAATTCTGACTTGACCACTAGGCAGTTGTGATATTGGGCAAGTCGCTTGACCTCCTCTGTCAGTCTTCCATCCTGTCACTACAGTGAGGGTTTAGATGAGGTCAGTATTTGTCAAACCTGACATTGTCAGAGTCCCTGGGGGATAAATGGTTAACATGATCAGCTGCTGAGAAGTTGGAGGTTTGAGCTCACCCAGAGGGCCCCTGGGAGAAAGTCCTGGTGATCCACTTCTGAAAAATCAGCCACTGGAGACACCATGGAGCACAGCTCCACTCTGACACACATGGGGTCATCATGAGTTAAGCCGGAATCAACCCAACAGCAATCGTTTTGTTTAAGTTGGAAAGGGCTGGGTTAAACAGCATCGAGATGCTTCTTAGACTGCTCCACATGCCAGTGTGCATGTGAATCTCCCAGGATGGATGTAATGAAGTTCCCAGACTTGTGTCCATAGCAAGGCTTGTAGGCAGGGACCATGCCCCAGGACTAGGGCTTTAAAAAGCATAAAATGCTTCTTTGACAAACTTTATCTCAACTTAGTAATTCATCTAAGATGCAGCGTAACTGTAGCAGCGCTTTCCCTCAATTCTATCTGTAAAATATTATTCTTGAGCAAGTAGAGCTGAATTTTAAAAGCAAGGATCACCTACCTATGTAGATCTAGAAAATAGATCTAGGTCCCAGGTTACCTAACATCTGTATTAGCTGTGAGTTTATCTTCTTACTGTGTCTGTCTCTTACCTGCCTTAGCTTATTCCTTCACTTGATTTTGAAAACATGAACCAGAAGTACCCTATATTCTTTAATAACATCTAATTTCCTGAATCCCAGCTTCCCTGAGATTGGGTGAATGACTCAGCTCACCCCACCCTATCCCTACCCCTACCTGGCTGAACTAATAACGATACATTGCATGCCCTCCCTGGTTAGCAATGGCAATGTTCCCTCTTCCCAGTCCCCAACAAAACAATCAAAGCACAAGCCCAAATTTATTTTTATTCTGCATACATAGGAAACAGGACTCTATCAAAAGAACGAAAAATAAGGAAATGAGCCAAGTGTTGCAGAGAAAAGCATGCACAGATCAGCTTCAAGTTTACTCCTAACCACAGACCCTACAGGACTTAACACACCAGGGGCTGGCACTCACTTTACAAGGTGGGGATGGCCCACCAGCAGCACACAGGAAACAAGAATGGCTGGGAAATGTGACCAGAGGTGGAGTTTCAGTACATGGTACTGTACCAGTGTCCACTGTAGCGGGGCACTAGCCCAGGTTCAAGGGAACACAAAATGTATCTTACACAAATATGAGAATATAAAATTGGGGAGCACTACCAATCATTTGGTATCTTTAGATAATGTGCTATCAAAAAGATAAAACAGAATTTAATCTTAGGCGTCTGGGTGCCTGTTCAGCCAGACCCTGCGTAATTCCAGGGCCAGCTCTTTGTGTGCTTCTCGATTAACCAAAGAAAAGGAAGGAGTTGAAGTCAAAAATGCAAAATAAATGGCCTGGAGGAAGGTGAACTTTTGGACCCATGTAGTTGTTCCTTGGTTGTAAACAGCAAACGTTGTGCTTTGTCTTCTCCTTTAAATCAAAGAGCCGAGTGTGGGGAGGTATTGCAGTCCTGACAGGAGGTCAGAGGTCACACAAAGGTGGTCAAAGACACTGGCAGCATCTATGTTCACAAACTGTGTTCCCAAAAGGTGTCTTTTTGTTCCCAAGCATCTCCCCCTGCAAATCCCTAGAAGGGTCCCAGATGCTTTATCTTCAAATAAATCCTGGAGCAGTGACTTCTGCCCCATCCCTATTTCTCACTGCCCATCCCTTATGAGGAGTCCCTGGGTGGTGCAAATAGTTAACAGGTTTTACATTTTGCTGCTAGCTCAAAGACTGGAGGTTTGAGTCCATGCAGGGGCAACTTGGAAGAAAAACCTGGTGATCTGAAAATCTTCTACTGAAACCCTATGGAGCACAGTTCTGCTCTGACACACATGGGTTCACCATGAGTCAGATTCCCCTCAATAGCAACTGGGTTTCTTCCCCATACAAATACCCTGGCAGAGCATGAGACCAAGCCTCCTGGTCTGGGGTAATGAAAATACTCAGCATCCTCCACTGACCTGTCCTGGTACTCAAGTTCAACAAGTAACAATTTCTCAAAAGGCTCCAATTAGATCATTTCAAAAATAAGCACTACCCCTCCCCCAGACACCTATATATACTACTATACATACAAGGATTTAGGTGTCTTGGCTACATTGCTTTGCCCTTAGCACACATGACACAACAGGTCTACATCTGGGTTTAGGTACACTACCAACACTACTATCTACGCTGAGGAGCAGACTAGCCCTGCTCACTGCCAACTCCTGGTGAGACATGTTTCTTATCCAGGGATTTGTGTTTCCAATCACATTGCCTTTAATTTCATTAAATTGTCAGGAAAAATCAATTCAGTGTTTTTTGAAGAAATCTTCATGCAGCCCTGGATATCTGCTTTCCTATCTTTTTCTCAGCTTGCTCCTGCTCCTCAGAGCCCAGCACAAACTGATGAGATCAAATGCTACCATCACTGCCCCAGGCTCAGATCAGCAATCCCTGCTCCCACAGGACACCTCTCTCATTTTGCCTCCTGAAGTCCAGTGTGATTTCCCTGCAAGGTATGCCCCACCCCAGGGTGGAGCAGCTCTGCTTTGAAAAGTGTCCAGCAGGAGTCTCTGGGTGTGATGACAGACTGAGTGGCCCTAAACATCCCAAGAAGATACACTCTTCATCTGAGCTCAAACGGCAGGACATGAGACAACTGCTTCCTCAAACGCACCAGAAAAGGGGGAAGCATTATTCTCTGTGTCAGACCAAGAGCTCATAAAACGTAGCATTCCACTTTGGACAGGGAGTGATTTTCCATGAGTGTAAGTAATGTTCTGTAGTGGTTCTCAGGTAGCGGTAGACATCCAGCTTCATCTTCTGGAGGTGGAAGTGGGGCACACTTGCTTTTCCCAGCCCTGTTGTGCAGAGGGGATGCCTGACTTCAGGATGAGCCACCGAGCAGGGCTCAGACGTGTCCTCCCTGCTGCATGTCTCCCTTAGCATGTCCACCAGAAAAGACTGGCTGGGGTGTGGCTTAAAGACTCAGTCCCAACAGGTCTCCCTGTACCAGCTGCTGGTCTATCTCACTGCCATGAGCCGGCCTTTTGATCAGGTGGAATGAAGCTTACCTAGCCAGCCCAGGCCAAGATATTGTACGATCGACCCTCTCCCCGTGCTCACCACTCAGATGGGCTCCTCCTGACCCTCCTCCTCATCTCTCTTTTGAGGATCTGGGTTCACTACCCTAAGACTTGCAATCCTCAGGGACTGTCACCACATTGCCAGATAGTACAGATTACATTAGAAACAGAAGCAAGAGAGGAGACACAGTGTGAATTCAAATACTGGTCCTCCATGGAAAACTTGAAAGGGAGCTGTGCTTGCTTTGAAGAGATCAAAGAGAAATTTGTCCTTTAGTGGCTCATTAGACCACTCCTTACAGGAACATTGACAGGGACAGGGAAGGCTGGATGAGGGCCTGTCAGACCCAGGAGCCCTCCTGTCTTCCTACAACGTGGCCACAGTGCCTCCTTCACATTGCAGGCATTGCTGACCCCCCTTTACTTGGCCTTCACCACCTGTTCGTACGGGGGTGGGGGCGTGTTACAGTAGGATGGGGGCGGGGGGTAGGCTGTGCTTCCCTGGGGTGAATTCGGTTGGACCTGGAAAGCCATCGCCATGGGATTCCCAGCAGGATTCATGCCTGGTCCTCCAGGGTCAGTGTAATATGGCGGCCCTGGCTGCTGGACTCCTGAAAGACAGACAAACAGATGTGAATACAGAGGAGAAACTGGCACTCACCAAACCCAAAGAGCTTCTGAGCTGTAGGGGCCACAGAGACCACCCATCCTAATCACACTGAACTAACATGTCTCAAGGACCCAATAAGCTCATACATAATGGTGCACCTGGGATATGGGAATAAGCAAGAACAACACACAAGGTCCCTGTTCTCATGGAGCTGACATTGTAGGACAGGGAGACAGAAAACTGAAAAAGCACACCTAAAGTCACAGATGGTGGCTAAGTCACTAAGAACCTCAGCAGGATCGGAGGTGTCATGTGGCCAGAGGTTCAGCTATCACTAACCTGAAATCTGAACAATAAAAATAAAGCAGCTCTGCAAAGAGTCGGGAAGCCTGGACTGAACGAATTACAAAGGACGAGCTCCCAACATACAGTTCAGAGCTGAGGAAACGGGCCATAGTTAGGTAAGGAAATTTGCAGTTCGTTGTTGGAAGAACTGGAAAGAGGATCATAGTTTCCTGACTTCCAGCCTGGCATTATCACTGGCAGCTCCACAACCACAGTGAGAACACAGTTTACTGGTGACAGTTTCTGATGAAAGTTTTCCATTCCCACCTGCTAGGCTAAGACAGGCTGGTTTTATCAGGACAGGGAAAGGAAGATAGGGCAATCTACTCCCCTAGAGATACACCACCTCAGAAACCCAAGGAGGGGGTCACTGTAAGTCGACTCGACTCGACACGACAGCAATGAGTGAGTGAGGTGAGCTCCAGCCCAGCTCCAGTACACAGAAAAGGGAAAAAACCTCCCATGCTGGCTGGGCTGGGATGAATGAGTCCACAGAATCTCAATTTACCCTTGATGTGGCTAGAGGAGATTCTCCCTTCTCCAAGGGTGAGGATGATACGGCAAGCAGGCTGACTCTCCAGATACAGAGCTGGGGGTGGGCTAAGGGAGGTCCAGAGAGCACCAAAGGTGACAGGAGGGAATGGCTGAGGACCCTGCCCCATATTTAGTCCTCCATTTTTTATTGGGTAAAAATATTCCAGAAGCTGTTTTAAAGCCTATTTTTTACATCTGGTTACTCTGATTGTATACTTAACTCTATACTGAGTAAATGAAAAAGAATCAAGAGGAAAAAAAAAAAAAAAAGAAAAAATCTGAGGATCTTAGGTGTTTCAGGGTTAAGCTAATTCAATAAGGGAACTCAAGTCTAGGTCGTGTTGGGTCTCATCTAACTCACGGAGATACTCAGAGTGACAGAGACATTAGTTTGTGTGAATACTGTGTAGGGCCATTTTTACAGGTCTCCCTCCATCAAAGTTTAAGTAAATAAGGAGGGGCTGATCCCCAGAAAGATGCCCACCAACGTATGAAATGTCCAAAACCTCTACAGCTGGCACAAACTGGATCCTGGAACTCTCCCAAGGTGCTGAGAGACAGAACGTTAGAGCAGAAATATAAGGCTGGAAATACATTTCAGGCTGGTAGTGGGAGAGCAGTCAGTCAGGGATGCCACCTTTACTCCAAGCCTGCCTCACAGGGTACCTGCCTGAGACAACAGCCAAGGGCTGTTTGCTTGTATGTCTGTTTACCAGCTACAGCCCTGAATTTCTCACAGTCAGGGATGTTTTATTTATCTCTGGATTCCTTCAGATTTTCCCAATTACAAGTTAAAGACTTAAAAAAGAAAAGAAAAAAGAGGCAATTGTCAGAATACATCATGTGGATCTCTGTGTACTGCAGAAGGAATAGAGAGCAGAGAACGAGCACGGTATTGAAGAGGTTCTACTGACAGGACTTAAGGACAACATGGAATATATAAGGATGGGGAAAGGGTCTAACAAGAAAAGGCCCCCATTTCTGGTCTGGAAAAGTAAGTAGCCCACCAAGCAAGAGAGGGACTCCAGGAGCAAGGCAGGACAGGTGGAAAATTCCACACTGAAGGGAAGGGGCAAGGTGCTTTTGCATGTCTTTTGTGTACAGGGGGTAACAAAAAAATGAGTGTGAATAAAACCACCAAGAAAGTGTTTAAGATGGTGATTCTGAGGACTCAGTTGTAAGAAAGAATAATATTCAAAACACAGAAGAACACAAAACATTTAAGAAAGATGACAGGGATGCAAAGAAGATGGGAAGAACTGGTAGAACACAGGCAGACTAGGAGTTGAGTCATGGCAGCAAAGGGAAAGGATAATATTTAAGAAGGAAGAAGTGACTGGTATTCTCCAAAGCCGAAGTTGTTGTTGTTGTTATGTGCCGTTGAGTCAGACCTGACTCATAGCGACCACTCCTTGGGTTTCCAAGGCAGTATCACTACGGAAGTAGATTGCCCCATCTTCCTTCTGAGGAGTGGCTGGTGGGTTTGAACCACCAGCCTTCTAGTTAGCAGTCAAGTGCCTTACGCACTATGCTACCAGAGCTCCCAAAGCCAAAGAGAGGTTAAATAAGAATCACAAATTTTAGCAGATGTGGTGCTTGGGAGTTCTCTCATGCCCTTTGCTCAGCAGTTTTAGGAAGAGTAGCAGGTACAGAACCCCAACTGCAGTGGGTGAAAAGCTATTCCAGGGCAAAGGGTGAAGGGATAAGGGAACTGGTGGTAGCTAAAAGGGACACAGAGCAAAGGAAGGTGTATTTTTAAGGAAGGGAAATACTTCAGTATGTTTATAGAGGTAGGGTGGTGCAAATTTAAGCGCTTGGTTGCTAACCAAAGGGTTGGAAGTTAGAGTCCATCCAGAGGCAATTCAGAAGAAGATTTAGCAATCTACTTCCAAAAACCAGCCACTGGAAACTCTGTGAAGCAAAGCTCTCATCTGACACATACAGGTCACTAGGAGTCAGAAGTGACTCAACAGCAACTGGTTTAGTTTGGTTTATATCTATATAGGAAAAAGAGGGCTTCTGGGGGAGAACGTAAGATCAATGAGGGCAAGGACCTTCAGGTTCAGCATTTGGATCCCAGTGCCTATCACAGAGCCTGGTGCACAGGAGGGCACCAAATAAGCCTTTGTTTAATGGGCAGAGAGAACAAGTGTAGATAAGGGCCTTGAGAAGATGCACCAGTGTATGCCACAGTCATGCAGAAAGGAAGAAACTCCTCACAACAGAGCTTATATTTGGGGTAGAGTTGGATACATTTGCTGAAAGTGATGAGGAAAAGATGAATGGGAGAATTAAGGGACATTAGCAGATAAATTCCAAAATCTTCAAAGAAGAAAGCAAAAACACAGAGTTCACAAACAGTAGCAAAAAAATAAAAATAAAAAACATAAGGATGCTGGGTCTGCAGGCTCAGGACCATGGTAACAGGGGACATCAAGCTCAACTGGTCTAACATACTACACAAAAACGTTTATATCCTACTTTGATGAGTAGTGACTGGGATCTTAAAAGCTTGTGAGCAACCATGCAACAACGGATTTCTCCTTCTTCAGAGCAAAGAAAAGTGAAGAAAATCAAAGACACATGGAAACAATTAGTCCAAGGGACTAGTAGACCACGGGAACCTCAGCCTACATGACCCTGAGACCAAAAGAACTAGAAGGTGCCCAGCTACCACTGCCAACCACTCAGAAAGGGATCAAAATTGGAGATCGTGGATAGAATGTTGATTTATTCCTGAATACAAAGGAAGGGATACACTCCTTGGAGTGATCAGTCTTGGGAGAACAGAAGGGCAGTGTTTGCACAGGTAGATAACTCAGTGAGCGGGAGTGCATGGGAGGGAAGGACATAGGAAAGAGGTAACTACAGGGAGAAAGTAGGAAGAGAGCTGTTAGGTTGTGGGGAATTGCAGTCAATGTCATAAAACAAAATGTATATGAACTGCTGTATGGAAAATGCATTTGCTCTGTAAACTTTCACCCAAATTACAATAAAAATTAAAAAAAAAAAAAAGATGGTATCTTGAGTGAACTTAGGAGGACTGGGAGAAATGAGTACAACAATGGCAGCAGCATAACAGTGTCTTCTGTTTCTTAAAGGATTTTCCCAGTTGCCACTGAATTGATTCCAACTCATGGTGACCCCATGTATCAGAGCAGAACTATGCTCCACAAGTTTGCCAGTGCCTGATTTTTTGCAGATAGACTGTCAGCCTTTCTCCCAAGTTGCCTCCTTGAGGTGGACTTGAATATCCAACCTTTTGGTTAACAGCCCAGTGCATTAACTATCTCACTACCCAGGGACTCCCTTTAAGTACTGAGTGATTACAGTAGCAATCATTATGTTATATTACACTGACTTTTATTATCCATTTATTCTTGAAGAAACTGAGACTGAAAGAAATTAAGTTACTTGACCAAGGTCACATGGCTGTTACTCATTCAGATGATGAAGAGGGGCTTTGAAGAAGTTTAGACTAGAAAGGGATTGGAGAACCAGGGAAGACTGATGACATGATAGGCCTGCACTTAAGGTACCATCCAAGGAATAAGGGCTTGACTAAGGGCAATCACGACTCAGTTTCTTGGTTTTGGTTAAACTGAACTCTTTTCCCTGTGTATTTACTCATTCCTGAATGCAAAGGGAATGCATCAATCGTAAAAACTCAGGAGTGACCATTCTTTCTTCACTGAGTCTACTGCGTATCATTTGAGAGGGAACCTTTAAAGCTAGCAAAGATTAACAAGAATGTTAGTGATGTTAATTGACAATAGCCTCTGCTAAGTAGACCATCCCACCTACAGCCTGTGCCAAAGGCCCAGGTCCTGCCACCACTCAACATGCTGAATGGATGGATGGGTTGGCTGGTGGTCTGTGAGTAGATGGGCTGTTCCAGCAGCCCAAGACAGACTGCATGGCCCACAAGAGATGGCGAGGTTATTGGCTCTAAGCTGGCCCAATTTCTGACTGTGCCCCAATTCTATCAGGATCCACATGTCTCTTTAGAATTAGCTCCTTCCCTGGGTCAGCTTGAGTGGGTTTCTGTGTTCTTTCTCATTCTGCACACTGCATGACTTTTATAATTTAAAGCAGACTCTAAATCTTGACTTCCTACGTCCT